AATGGGAGGGCGCAGAGGAGGGAGGAGGAAAGGGGAGGGCCAAGCAGGAAGATGGCGGCTGGAGCGGAGGTGTGAGTGGACCCGGATCTCTGCAGCTGGATTTTCTCTTCCCTTTTTCCTCTCCTCTTTCTTCTTTTGAGATTGGCATCGAGGGGCCTCAGTCCGGGTGGCGGCGCCGGTCGCAACGCAGGGGTCACGGCGACGGCGGCGGCTGACGGCTGGAAGGGCAGGCTTCCTTCGCCGCTCGTCCTCCTTCCGCGGTCCGCTCGGTGTCAGGCTCGGCGGCGGCGCGTGGGGCGGTCTTCGTCCTACCTCCAGCACCCCGCGGCACTGGAGCGGGCGCTCTTCCCTTCGCCATCTCCCGACATTTCACCCCGGGGACTGGGCGCCTCCTCAGGCGCAGCTCACGGAGCGGGGGCCGGTCTCCTGCTCGTCTGTCGCGCCTCCATGTCGGATAACCAAAGCTGGAACTCGTCAGGCTCGGAGGAGGATCCCGAGACGGAGTTGGGGCCGCCTGTGGAGCGCTGCGGGGTCCTCAGCAAGGTGAGCAACCCGCGGGGCCAAGGGTCCCCTGCCCACACTCACCTGTCGGGAGGCGAGCCACTGAGGGCATGGGGTGGGGCTGGGCGGGGGCACTGGCTGTCCTGGGCCCAGGCTGCGGAATGTGCCAGGCTGCGGGACTGAGTCTGCCGCTGGAGTGCCCGGACTAGGGGTGGAGTGGGAAAGGGGGAGAAGGGGACTTATCTGCCCTGGGGGTCCGCGGCAGTTTGCCGCCGAGGACTGGGGAAAACGTGTCCCTACCCCGGATCCAGTTAGAGAGCAGGATGCGCACCATGACTTGGGACTCAGGGCGGCAGCTGTCCGGGGTATAGGAATCCGGGTTGAGCAACAGCGGCGTCCGAACAACTGGGTACGGGAGCGGTGCAAATCGGATCTCAGGCAGGGTTAGTCCAGAGATGCCAAGCAGAGTAGGTTGGGGGATTCTGGGAACGTGGCTGTTTAAACGGAAGGCTTCGTAACTAGGCTTGGTGCTGAAATCTGAGGTGGGAAACTATGCCAGGTTAGATGTAGGGAGAGATCTCAATGAGGAGGACTTTTGTACTTTTTCCCTCACCCTTTAGCCCTGTTCAGAAAAGAGCTATTGAAGCGACACGTGATAGGTACAGGAATTATTCCTAGTAACTTGGAACATGTTGGAATGAAGACCGACTTTTAGTCCAGGAAGAAAAGCATTATTTAATAAAATATTCTTGCAGTCAGAGGATTAGAGTAAGGAAAAGACACCTTACCTTTCCTGTATTTTTTTAAAACCCCTTTTTCAAAATTTTAGTAAAAGAGAGTCATTTGTAGGACTGAGACTAATTAAAATTGGCGAGGCCCTTTTTTAAGAGAGAAAGTGGGTGCGTGTTCTTTTCTTTTGGTGTAATACACGGAGGGGAGCGGGGTTGGTGTTGTTTGTTTGTTTTTCTTAAAGTTATGAGAAGATCCACATTGCGATTTGTTTTGTTTTTTTACTTCCTTCTCCCTTCCTGTTAAACTTTTATAAATGGCTGGAACTAGCAGTTAACCTGGAGAAGGGGCAGCTGGGGCGGGGCTCTCAACAAGCTGGTCATAAGATACTAGGTCATGTGCAGCTATTAAGAAATCACCCTGCTTCCAGTATACATACTTTGGCTAAGCATTTGGACGTCTTTTGGAATTGTTTCATATTAGGTGTTTATAATGTTTTTAGAAGGCTGGTAGGAAAGGGCCTAAGAAAAGCATGTATATGTCAGAACTAAGGCCTACAAGTGTTAACTCTTATTTGCATAGCAGAAAAAGTATGGTGTATGTGGATATTGTGATCATTATTGGAATTTCCGTGAAAGGTTTTCAGTAAACTGAAGCTCTCTTGCATTTCTATAGATTAACTGTATATTGTAATTTAGGAATCTATTAAAATCATTGTGAAATAGGTATACATCTTCAGATGGAATTATTGTGAAATGGGCTCTTTGCTTCTGAGTGATTTTGGTAGTTTCATTGCTTTTCTCATTAGATGAGAAGCAGACTTTCAAATTAATACTGTGGTAGTGTTAAGTATTTGACAAAACAAGCTGTACTTTTGATCTATTGATCAATTTGGGGGGATTGGAGCGACTGGTGGAATCGCTAGTCCTCTTGAGTATTCATCTTATTCAGAGCAGGGTAATAGGTATACTATATGGAAATGTGGAAAAAGTAGAAGACTGTCTCTTTGATATTTAAATGTGTAGAAATGCAGTATTTGACCACTTCTGTGGCAGGTAAATAACTTCAGTGTTTCTGCATACTTAGATCAACAGGAATATAGGTTTTAGTGTTACTCTTATTAACAGCTATGAAGTTAATGTCTCTGAAATTTAACAAGTTATAGTTATATAAGTTTCCTGGAAGCTTTTTAATGAAGAGTATGTATATTGAATACATGTTTTAAACTTAAAAGTACATATATGTTACCTTTGTATTCACTTGGTAATTTAAACACGAATTAGAACTCAGCATCTGTCCTTTCCCTTTTATTGAGTAATGTAGGTAAGTCCCAGTACTAATTTGATTTGTTTCTTAAACCAGTCCAAAGTTTTTTTTCTTCTATATGGTAATCTAAAATACATGTAAACACCTCTGAAGGTAATTTTCTATAGAATTTATAATTAAGTACGTACGTTCGAAAAATACTGGATAGACAATATTTCTAGGTAGTTCTAGTAAATATCAGGATTAATCATGGTTGGGAAAAACTTCCTGTCTTAGTAGGACATGAGAACCACTAAGCCTAGATAAAATAAATCCCAACCAGCTTCTGAATTCTCATCCTTTGAAGTTTAATTTGTCTTCTATTTTTCCACATACCTAACTGTTGGCTAAAATTCTATCCCTTTTTAGAGTCCATTGCAAATACTATTCTTTCCATGAAGCTTTTTATTTCACCAGCCATTCCAGATCTCCTTCCCTTGGGTTCCCATAGCATTTTATTTGTAACGTGCCGCTTATTCTTATTTTAAATGTAGGGTTTTTTTCTCTTTTGAAAATATAGCTTGGGAGCAGAAATCTTTGATTCCTTTGCAGTGTCTAGCATATTGCCTTGTCTCTATTTGTTAAATGGGGAAGAGTAAAGGTACTTTATGAGGGGAGAGAGGGGCAAAAGTCTGCCTTCTAGATATGATAATATTTTAACGTTACTGAGTAAAAAGGTCCTGAGGCTTATGTACTTTATTGGGTCCTCTGTAAGGAAATGATATAAAATTGTGGACACAAAATACCTGGGGCCCCTTCTGTCACTTTGAAAGAGGTCTGTTCTAGGGAGCTGCACTGATGAAGCTTCATTAGCTATGCGTAACTGCCTCCAACTCAGAAAGTACTATGTGCTTGGCAGTGTTCTGAGTTTCTTCTTATTTTGTCTTAACAATTCTGAGGTATGAGTTTGACAGGAACAGAAAAGATAAGTAACCTAACCATGGTCACACAGTTACTAACCTTCTGAAGGGCAATAATTGGAAGTGAAGTGGATTAAGTTATGCCAGTCTAAACAATTTGTATTGCAGTAAAGGGGAGTTCATGTAAGTTTTGGAACTGAAGGTTCAGCGAGATTAATATGTAAGATAAGTAAGCAAATATGCTTAATAAGTAAATAAGATTATGTAAGTTATGAAATAAAAAGCAGAAGACACTAGAAATAAGGTTATTAAGTTTCTCAGGAATCCAGGAACCTGTAATTTAATTGGAGTAATTGAAAGTAAAAGAGGAGCCACATTTAAGGGTTCTATATGAAGGGAAGATGACTAGGAGTTGGTCATGGGCTATAAAGATTGAGAAGGAACCCTCAGGTATTGGGTATTCCTATGAATATAGTAGGTGTCTTCACAATTTTATTCAGCCACTTAAATAACAGGCAAAGAAACTGAAGCTCAGAAAAGTAAAATAACTTGTCAAAATTTCTCACACAACTGGTAAAGTAGTTGAAACTCTGATTTTGTATCCAGTACTCTGTCCATACAGAACACAAACTCTCAGTCAGGTTTGAGTCTAAAAGACTGCAGAAGTCAAGGAAATGGGAACATAGGGAGACAGTGCACCTTAAGAGAGGAGGTGAATTGAGTTTTGTATGTAAGAATCATTATTTCAACTTGCAGTCTAAGTGGTGGTGAGTCACAGGGAGTTAAAAAATAAGGAAATGGTGATTAGGGAGCCCTTAGGAAAGAATGAGTTAAATTGCCAGCAGGGATCTCTCAGGGAGGGGTTGTAATGATGGGACTTAGAAGATTTAAGACCTGAATCATCTCAAACATGTTGAATTAGGGAACAGGAAAGTAAAGATTTTTCAATGGGTAGAGAGCTTGAGTCAATGCAGTGTGTATATTTATAACAGTCCATTTTGAATTAATTTTTGGCAGACAGTTCTGGAATTGTCTATATTTAAAACCCCCAGAACATGAAAATATGCAAATTCAAGAATTCCCATAGAGGTTACATTTCTGCCATTGAAAGTTTATTGATTGTGCTCTTCAGTGTACAGCAAAACTTTAGCAACACAGAAACCATTTATAAATACTAGAAACAGATAACGCAAGTATGTTTTTGAAGAACCAGTTTTGTATTTGTATTATTACTTTTAGGTTTGAAACAGCCCCAGCTGCTTTGGCTCAGTGGTTAGAGCGTTGGCCTGCGGTCTGAGGGGTTCCAGGTTCGATTTTGTCCAAGGGCACGTACCTGGGTTGCAGGCTCAATCCCTGACCCCAACCCATTTGAGAGGCAACCAAACAATGTGTCTCTTTCACATCGGTGTTTCTCTCCCTCTCTCTCTCCCCCTTTCCCTTCCACTCTCTGAAAAGCAATGGAAAAAGTATCCTCGGGTGAGGATTAAAAAAAGAAAGAAAAATGAAAAATAGATCTTCAGAGAAACTTGCAGAATGAATTAACTATTTTAAATATGAAATGTGGAGGAAATAATGAAGTTGATAATAGACTTACCAAAGATTAATGGTCTAGTACTTGACTTTCATGTAGTTATGAACATCATAAATTTTCATATAGGAATAACTTAAAACAAATACAGTTTTGGCCATGATTAGCTTCATACTTCTATTGATTTAGAAGGTTTCATGCAGTGCTTGGTGTAGGAGAATGAGAGACTATATAACCAAACTCTCTTTTTTTCATAATTTTTTTTTTTTAATCCTCATCTGAGGATATTTTTTCCATCACTTTTCAGAGTGAGTAGAAAGAAGGGAGGGGAGAGAGAGAGCCATCAATTAGTTGCCTCCCAAATGGGCCCCGACCAGGGCAGGGATTCGAGCCTGCAACCAAGATACGTTCCCTTGACCAGGAATCAAACCTGGGACCCTTTAGACCTTGGGTTGATGCTCTAACCACTGAGCAGCTGGCTAGGGCCCAGACTTACTTTTCTGTTGAATATGTTAATTGTAGCAGGGACCAAAACAATTTAAGTGTCTTGAGGTGGTGAGGAAGGGAAGATGAAAGCACACAAAGAACAAAGTATACTTTTTGAAATTAATTTTTTTAACAGGATTACATTGGATTAATAACATATAGATTTCAGGTATACATCATTATAATTCAATATTTGTATACTCTATTGCATGCTCACCACCCAAAAAAATCTAATTTCTGTCCTTTACCATATATTCAACCTCTTTTATCCATTTCTCCCTCCCACCACCTCCCTTCCCCTCTGGTAACCACCATTCTGTTATCTGTATCTGAGTTTGTTTTTGTTTTGTTAATTCATTTGTTACTTTTTTGTTTTATATTCCACATGAGTGAAATCATATGGTTTTTGTCCTTTTCTATTCCATCTGATTTATTTCACTTAGCTTAGTACCCTCAAGATCTATCCATGTTCTCAGAACGGCAATATTTCATTTTTTATGGCTAAGTAGTAGTACACATACACCTTTATCCATTCTTTCATCAATGGACACTTAGGTTGTGTCCATATCTTGGTATTGTAAGAAATACTGCAGTGAACATAGAGGTACATATATCTTTTCAAATTAGTGTTGTCATATTTGGATAAATACCCAGAACAGGAATTGCTGGACCATATGGTAGCTCCATTCTTAATTTTTTGAAAAACCTCCATACTGTTTTCCATAGTGGCTGCGCCAATTTACAATCTCGCCAACAGTGCCCGAGGGTTCCCTTTTCTCCACATCCTCTATAACACTTGTTATTTTTTGTCTTTTTGATAACAGCCATTCTAATGGGTATGGGGTAATACCTCATTGTGGTTTTGATTGTATTGCCCTAATAATTGGTGGTGGTGAACATCTTTTCCTATGCCTATTGGCTATCTGTATGTCATCTTGGAAAAAATGTCTATTTAAATCCTCTGTCCATTTTTTAATCGGATTGTTTTTTTTGTTGTTGAGTTGTGTAAGTTTTGTATATATTTTGGATATTAACCCTTTTTTGGAAGTATCACTGGCAAATATCTTTACCATTTGGTTGGTTGCCTTGTTTTGTTGGTTTCCTTTGCTGTGTAGAGGCAAAGCAGAATTTTAAACTGAAATCTGCTTCTATTTTATTCCTTAAATGTTAGGAGAAAATATAATTTATTTACTTTATATATATTTTATAAAAATTATTGAAAATCATTATACAGTCTAGAAAATACCAGCTTTCCACTTTTTATAATCATTTTTACTATTTATAATTATGTTAGAACTTTTCACATTTTGGTTTTAAAATTAGATTGATTGTTGTTTCAGAAAGTTTGGATTTCTAAAATACCGACTTGTTATTTTTGTTTCCCCCCAACCCCTCCTCTCTCCTACTCCCAGTGGACAAACTACATTCATGGGTGGCAGGATCGTTGGGTCGTTATGAAAAATAATACTTTGAGTTACTACAAATCTGAAGACGAGACAGAGTATGGCTGCAGAGGATCCATTTGTCTTAGCAAGGCTGTCATCACGGTAAGTTTCCGTTTTCCTTCATTAAACAAATACTTATTGAGCAACTATACACTAGGAACTATTCTAGGTACTTGGTATACATCTGTGAACAAAATGGGTAAAGATCCTTGCCCTTATGGAGTATACAGTCTAATACTTTTTTCCATAAAGCTATTTTAGAAAAACCCTAACTATAGGTTCTTTCTGGCTTTTTATGATTTTTCCCCCTAATATTTTACAGATGTCTTACCTTTATCCAATTTAATACCTTTTAAAAGAATGACTCACCTTTACTGAGTAATCTACTTGGTTTACATTCAACTAAATTTATAAGAAACAAATTTTTTTTGTACTTGTATTTCATACACTTACATAATGTTTAATTAAGTTATGTAAGAAGTGCAACAAGTAAACTGGCATAAACAGGTTTGGGAACAACCAACTGACCTGTTACATGTATATCTCAACTAGTGGGATCAGAAATACCTGAATACTCTAAAAATGGCATACTAGTTGAGAGTGGTCAACATGCCTTGGCATATTTAATAAAGGGCAAAAAAAAAGTGCCGGTTAAGGCAAGTCAATTAAGGTAGCATTTGTAGTTAAATTCTGAAAGTGGGTATGTTAAAACTTAATCATAGGTTTTACTAATACATTCAAAGAGAATTCACATTATGATAGACTTTATATTGCTTATAAAAGTAAAAAGCACTTTGGATCTGTGTTGATATCTAAATCTGACATATGTTTATTTTATACATTTAAGAAAAATCTTACAGTATTTTTCCATCATTTTTCATACATTCTGCCCCCTTTGGATATTCCAAGTTTGAAACAAAAGCTTAGTTGAATATTGAGATAGAAAAACTTATAGAGGAATTGTTTGGAACTGTTAAGAATGAAAGTACTACTCCCCATTCTTAGGGACAATTTTAAAGAAATATTTTGAGCCCGGCCGGTATGGCTCCGTGGTTGAGCATAGACCTGGAGGTCACGGTTCAATTCCCAGTCAGGGCACATGTTCGGGTTTCGGGCTTGATCCCCAGTGGGGGGCTTGCAGGAGGCTGATGGATAGTTCTCTCTTATCGTTGATGTTTCTATCTCTCCCCCCTTCCTCTCTCTGAAATCAATGAAAAAAATATTTAAAAATATGTTTTGAATGTAAATGCTCAGTATTTATTTTGTCTGTTATACGGTACATTATAGTGTATTTTGAAATTGTACCTAGTTTATTATTTTGGGGTTTATTTCTCCTAAGGTAGAACATTATTCATGCTAGAAGACAGAATAGTGAATAGAAACATACTTTCTTGAAGTGTCTTTCCTAGGTTTCTCCTTTCCTTCCTTTTGCATATTGTCACTTGTTAGTTACAATGCTTGACTCTGAAAATAATATGTTGATGGTTGATGCGAAAATAGGAAGGAATGAAATTTTATCTTCATTGTTTACTAAGTAGTAGTACTCCCAGAGTACCATGCTAGTTTATGTAGAGTTAAATATAGTTGTCTTATCCTGAATTATGGATGATGGTAAGAGAGCATGGCTTATTTGGGGAAACAGAAATTTTTGATAAACATTTACATTGCATCTGCTCGGGGAAAAACAGTGTGTTCTTTGTAGATTTGTTGTTATATTTGCATGCAGAACTTTCTTCTTTCTTTTTTTTTTTGGAATTTGTATAAAAATTTATTCAAGCCAAACTGACAATACATGCCAGGGAGGAACATCTCCAATGTTCCCTGAGAATAACAGTTTTGCAGCTTCTTTTATGCATTTGAAATTAGAGAAAGTAAGGAAGATTCCATGGCAGTGGAGGTGAGAGAAAGCAAGGCAGGAGTTGGATTACAGGATAGTTAACAAGATTATATGCTCTCTTGAGTGTGGTTATTATTTTAACGGTGAGTTAACCTAGAGGCACAGCAACAATGGACAGGCTTACTTAAGGTAAAGGTAAACCTTTTACTAAAGAAGTAGTATGTCTTGGGCATGCCTACCCACCATGACCTTCCTAGTTAGGAATTTATAATCAAATCACCTGTGAGGTTTGTTCCTTTCCCCTCCCTCCCTCTCTCTCTCTTTCTTTCCTTCTTTCTTTCCCCTTCCCCTTC